GCCTGAGCCCCTGGTGGGGTGGGGGAGGTGGCTCGGCTGCCAGGGAGGGGCGGGGAGGGCAGCAGAGGCTGGGGACCACAGAGCCCCTCTGCTGGTTGTCCTCTGTCCCACGGATGCCAGGGGTCTCAGCCCGTCACACCCAAGACCTGCACCTTTTTAAGTTTGTTTCTTCTATGACACAGAGGGAGGGAGGGAGGGGGAGACAGGCTTCCCATGGGGTCTTCAGGCCGCGACGCACCGCACTCTCAGCTGGCCCAGGTCCAGGAACACGCGCGTGTGCCCCGTGCTCGGGGAGGACCCCCAGGTGGGCCTGTTTCCCAGCCCCCCTCTTTTGCTAAATTAAACTTATTTGATATTGTAGTGTCTCCAGCAGTTGTCGAGTCAAGCACAGATGGTACAGTCCACTCTCCTCCACGCTAAGGACACCCCACAGGACGCCACGTGCCGCCACTGTCCTGCTTTGCCGGTAGCTGTGTGCAGAACCGACACACGTGTTGCCCCTGCATAGAACCAGACGCACCTGGCTCTGCTCTGGACAGCACTTACGAGTGGCAGGAGCCCCCGAGCACGCGCACGCAGTCAGGAGGGTGCGAGGCCGGCGCTGTGGGTAAACAAGCAGCCGTTTGCCCTGAAGGAACGGGTACCCGGGTTCACCGTCGGGGTGTCCACGGGGCATGGTACAAAGTCGCCAACCTCAGCTGGGCCAGTGGCTGCCACCCCAGGTGGACGTGGGTTTCCTGGTGACGTGGATCTGCGAGGGATGCTGCCCTGGGTGACAAAGCCCCGAATCTGACAGCTCTCGGCAGAGCACCAAGCTGAGCTGTCCTCGCTGCCCTCCTGGAGACAGCGCACACATGGTCAGGCAGAACGCATTCTGAGGTTCACGTTGAGCTGAGGCAGGTCCTGGCCGGGGACCCCCCGTCCTCCCTCTCTCACAAATTTCCCGTAACACACGTGGCAGCTCCGGGCTGCGAGCCCCACCCTAGCCGGCACACACCCGAGGTCCTGCATAGCAGCTCCCCACTGCTAGGGCTCTCCCGCCGTGGGCAGCTGCCGGTAAAGAGGCCCACAGGACTGCCCGGCCCAGCTGCAGGCCATGGGCTCTGGTGGGCCCGGAGTGGCCTCTGCTGTGGACCTGTCCAATCCCACCAGCCACGGCAGTTCCTCACTGCGGGACCCTGGCGGACAGCTTCAGCCTCTCCGAGTTCTGGGAGGATCTGCCCGACCCCCTCCTGGGCATGCGCGGCGGTGCTGACCGGGTCTCACAGCTGCACTTCCAGCAGTGGTCGCGAACCCGCCCGGCAGGAAGGGCAGCCAGCCACTGCGTGAGCGTGAGCAAGTCAGTAGGGCCGAGCCTCCGTTTCTGGCCCCGCCTGTAAGGTCCATGCTCTGCCCCCCTGCCACCCCAGAGGACGGTCAGTGTCCAGGGCAGGATGGGGACAAGGACCCTGCAGGCCTGGCCCTCAGCACGCGGCGGCCACCCACTCTTCCCGGGCAGGCCCCTCCCACCAGCCCTGCAGGTCCCTGACCATCCCAGCGGGGTGACCACTCTGTGCCTGGCTGGGGTCCTGGGGAAGTGGAGGGCTCTCCTGACCTCACTGCCTGGCCCCTGCTGACCCCCCTGCAGTCCAGTGATGTGGCCCTGGCCCTTGCTCAGAGCCCATCCATAGCTCCCAGGGTCCTGCCTCTGGGAAAGACCCTGCCCTGGGGCCCACACACCCCCACTCGCATCCTTGCTGGGACCAGGGCCAGGTCCCTAGTGGGAGGTGGCTCCAGCAGACTCTCCGTGACTCAGTGGCATGGCCTTCCCAGGTCACCGGGTCACACCTGCCAATGCTCAGCCTGGTGGCCTGATGCCTGCACCTGGTGGCTTCCCCGGCCTGGCCCCTGGCAAGCCCCATGGCCACCCCATGAGCACCTGCTGTGGGCCACACGCCCCTGTTTCCACCCTGACCCCAGCGCTCTGTCTTGACAAGGCTGGCCCACGCCCGGCCCCCGCGGGCTGCCGGCTCCTGAGGCCGTGTCCGACTCAGCTCTGGGATTGCTTGGGGCGGCGCCTGACACGTGATCCGTAATTCAGCCACCCAACCGGGACTTCCTGAGCACCCACTACGTGCCCAGCCCCTTTCTGGGCACTGCTGGCAGCAGCAGCTCACATGCGGTCAGCACCTCTGCCCAGCTGTGGAGGCAGCAGCGACACTTGCGGAAGACGCAGCGGCAGGGCGGGTGGGGTCTGTAGCTTGAGACCGGGTGGTCGGAGCTCAGCCTGGAAGGCGGGGGAGAGGGGCGGCGCGATTTCAGGCAGTGGGCAGTGGGCAGTGAGCAAGCCGGCCTGGGAGGGGGGAGGCAGCTGCCACACCTCCCACACTCTGCCCTGCAGGCCCCCCAGCCCACTTCCTGGGTCACGTGACAGGACGGCCATGCCTTGAGGACAGGCTGCCTGTGCAGCGGCGGCACCTGCAGTGAGTCCGTAGGGTGGGCCTTCGGCAGGGCACGCCGAGTAAGGACAGTGACGGCCCTGGTCGCACAGGTCTGAGAAGGAGCCCACTCCAGAGGCCCCTCGGGACATTGACAACCCCCCACGCTGCCCCCATGAGCCACCCAGACACCCCCCACCTTCGGGGCGCCCTCTGCCCCTCACGCTGCCCCCATGAGCGAGCCGGCCCCTGCCAGGCCTGTAGTCCTTGTGGTCACAGGTCCAGATCTGCTGGGGCCACGTGGGGCCCAGAGGGGGCAGGAAGTAGGGCTGGGGGCAGGGATGGCGGGGGTGGGGGCTGTCCTGGTCACGCCACTCCCAGGGTCGCTGAGGAGAGTCTGTCCAGGTCTGACATGTGGCATGCAGGGGAGGGACGCCATTGCCAGGCGGACAGCAGGGACTGCCGTGTGGTCCCAGTCTACTCCCTACCCCGCTGAGCCTCGGTTTCCTGGTGCCAAGTGGGAGGGACTCGCAGCACTTCTCCCCACGGCAGTCAGAGGAGCCAGGGGCTGCCAGGGGGTGTTTCCAGCTACCGGCACAAGTGCTGGCCGGGAGAGGAAGCCGTCCGGGCACAGGGATGCCGTGGTCAGGGCCTCCCCATCGGGGTTTGGAGGTGCACACGCAACCACTGTGCCTAGGGGCCGGCCCACGAGAAAGTCTGATGCCAAACAGGGTGCCTGGGTGTGGGCAGCAGTGCGTGGCCTCGAATGCCCGGGGACACTCGGGCCCATCTCTCCACACGCCGCAGCAGGTCCTGGGGACCCTCACCCTCCCGAGGAGCAAACGCGGCCTCCTGCAGAGACTCGAGAAGGCCGCTCTGGGGCTCAGCTTCCTTCTGTGAAGACAGGCACCGGCCACGCACAGACCAGCTGCTCTCGGTCTCCCTAAATCCTGGGCCGATAGGTGTGGAGGCACCACGCGGGTGGTGGTGGTGTCCAGGCCAGGGTGGCCGGGGCAGGAGGAAGCAGGAGGGACACAGAGCCCTGCAGGCCCAGCCCTCTCCCCGGCACCCTGCCAGAGCCGTGCGTCCAAGCTCTCTGGGCCCGGCGGGTTGAGCCAGGCTCTGTGGGGAAGTGCCTGGAGTCTGTGGTAACCTGGTCCCCGGCAAGATCGCGTCTGCGTGGACTTAGGCAATGCCGTGGGGAGGGCCCGCTTCCGGGGACACCAGGCCACTGGGAAACGGGGACGGTGTGACACACCCAGGGCCATGGCAGGCCCACGCTGGCCAGGACACTGTGCTGAGATCTGCTCAAGGGACGCCGGTGTGGAGCCCGGCCACCACTACCCAGGCCAGTGCACTGACCCCCCGGGCCCTGGCAGAGGGCCGGCAGGCAGGGGCGGCGGGAGGACCGGGTCCCACGGCCGCTCAGCAGGAGGGTTTACTCCGTGTTTCCAAAACCACAGCCCGGGCCTCGCCAGGGAGTGAGAACCCGTGTACCTGCTCCCGTGGAAGGGACCCCAGCCGTGCTCCCGTGGAAGGGACCCCAGCCGCGCGGAGTAAGCAGGTGGGCCGGCAGGGAAGCACTTCCAGGGGCCAGAGCGGGTGCTGACGCAGCTGCCTGCCTGTTTACTTTGCTCCCGCTCCGCGGCAGAGGGCGGCCCCCGGTGGGGACGGGAGGCACTGCCTCCAGCCAGGAGTGCCCCAGACCCTGGCTGGCCACAGGGCTGCAGCGCCTGGGCCCCCTGAGGCCCCCCTCCCCCCAGCTACTGCTGCGAGCCTCCCTCTCAGTCCCCAGTCTGGGCCAGCGCTGCTCCCTGGCACTCACCACCGCCTGCCGGCCACAGGGCACAGGGCACGTGGCCCAGCCAGGTGCAGCCTTGACTCGCATGGCTGAGGGGCAGGAGGGGGGCAAAGGGTGCTCCCGGGACAGCCTGGCCGAGCCCGGAGCGTGCGGGAGGCTGGCACTCACCCCTGCCCCCGGGAAGCCTGGCTTAAGGAGCACAAGCTTCGTTTCCATAAATACCCCGCCGTGATGTCACTGCGTGTGGACTGACAGCCGCTGCCCCTGGCGGCAGGCCCAGCAGACAGGCGCTCTGCGGCTGGCCCCCAGGACACCTGGCAGCACCGCTGGGCACCAATGCCCCTGCGCACAGGCTGGCCGGCCCTCCCTTCTGGGCGGACGTGGACTCTGCCACGGCCCAGCCTGCCCTGCGACCTTCCTCTGGCCATGGCTGGACAGGACTGCTCCCAAACACGCTGGGGCTGCCTCGAACGCCCCAGGCAGCCGCGTCTGAGGGCCTGCGGGGACTGGGCCTGAGGCAGACCTGCTGACTAACAGCCCCTTCCCATCTCAGCACCCACAAACACCTCTGCTGCAGGGGCCGCAGGCATCCCCAGGCCGGCCACAGCCCTGCAGCTGGAGCCCCCGAGTCCAAGCAGCCCCACAGCCCCGGCGGCCCCCTGCAGCCCGGGCACAGCTGCGCCAGCACAGCAGCCAGGCCTCCCCTGCCGGGCCTCCACTCCAGCCCCCTCTGCGGAAACCCTGGCCACCAGTTCAGGCACCCGCCAGCCACGCATACTCACAAATAGCGCCTTCTGCAAGCCATCCTGAGTCCGTCTCCCTCGCTCCCTCTCCAGCGGGGGTGCCTACTGTGGCGAGAGCAGGCAGGATGCTCAGCCGCAAGTGGAAGTGGGTAAAATTAATTTAAGGGCGAGTCACATTCCCGGGGGTGGCAGGCTCCTCCAGGGAGGCAGGTGCAGGAGCAGGTGGGGGGCGGCGGCAGCAGCAGCGGGCCCCTGCCACGCCGAGCTCACGCGATGCCCGGGCGCCTGCGCGCAGGTGGAGTCACCATGGTGGCCAGGTCGGGCGGGGGCGTCTGCCTCGCTGCTACCTGGGACCACCTCGGGATTTTTCCGTCGCGCGCATCCGAGGTGACGGGCGCTGCACGGAGGAGGGGGTGGGGAGCTGCGCCCGTTTGCTCTCGCAGCATCCGGGGGAGGGGCGGGCCCGCGGAGGCCCCCCCACCCCAGGAGCAACGTAGTGCGGCCGCGCTGGACCAATCGCCGAGCAGCTCGTCGCTATGGCAACTGCGGCATCAAGCGCCGGCGCCCCGGCGCCTCGCTGCAGTGTCGGCCCGGCTGAGCGCGACGCCGGCCCGCGCTGAAAACCTGGAAATGTGTTGCCGAAATGCAGCCTACCAGCCTGCCGGACTCCGCTCTCCGGGCTCTCCGGGTGGCCTCTCGGCCTTTGGCACGGGGGCATGCGCACCGCGGAGCTCCCGGCCTCTGGGAGGCCTTGCCACCGCCCCGAGGGAGTCCCACGGTGCTACCGTGACTTCGGGCGGCCCCGCCTCGCTGCCGGCGCGGGGCTCATGGCACGGGGCTGCTGCTGGCGCCGGGTAGGCCCGAGGAGGAGGCGGCCGGGGCGGGGGAACTCCTGCTCTAGTCGGGCGCCCGTTCCTTCCTGCCCTCTCAGACACCCCGAGCGGGCCCACGTGCTCGGCGCACAGTGGGAGGCGAGCAAAGCACCACCCTCACCAGGGCTGCATCCCAAAGGGGCAGGAGACGGCAGCAGGGGAGAGCGTGACTGCCTGGCAGTGAGGACCAGGAAGAGCAGGGCAGGGGAGCCAAGGAAGGGGGAGGACGGACTGGCCCTCGGCAGTACCTGGAGGCCAGTGTGGCAGAGGCGCGGCGGGGGGAGCGGCCCAGGTGGGGCCTGCGCTTCAGGAGTCCGGCAGGGCCATCCCTGCCCCCCGTCCTGGAGGGTTATCTCCCACGCTCCATCTCCCGGGCTGAGGCCACACGGTTCAGCCCGCCTCTCACCCAGACGAGTGTCCACACTCCCGACCCCGCAGCCCG